AAAAACACATGCATACAATAATATGCGTTCAATAAATATGTGTAAGCGTATAAGTACATGTATGTCGTTTTACATAATAAATTATAATATAATATATTATGTTTGCTAACACAAAGAACGGAAGCACCCAAATAGATAATAATAATAATAATAATAATAATATTAATTAGAACCTTATATAGTGTTTTTGTTTCGCATCGTCACAATTTTTGCTCGAGGGTTAAACGTAATATAATTTTAATAACATATTACGTTTCGTCTAACAGCGAATACAAACAGGTGGTAAACAAGTGAATACAAGGTAATAATATAATATAAATTATAATAATATAATATAATAAACAGTAATATTTTTAACCGGAATGAAACACAAAATTATCTCGTGACAATAAACTACACATACAAACTTAAAATTATAACAATATTTTTTCTTATAGATTCACATTAACCTAATACAAGATTTAGAATATCCGATGGTAGTTATTTGTACATTTTAAAACAACTACCGTTTATCGTTTAATTAATTTGTATTAAAATATTATTATTGTTATTTTCATACGTTATTAATTCTAAGGAAGTCAAATTTTTTTTACGTCAAGGCGTAATTATTATATAATATATACGACGCACGTACAAACGTATAAATTATTTTTAATACACATTCTAACATGCGGAATTGATTTGATATTTTATTATTTTTAAATTTTAATATCTTTAAAATGTGCGAGTCACAATTAGTTGAAAGTGCTTTTAAAAAGTGTACGTAAAATAAATCAAATCGCATAGGCCTATAACGGTTATAATAATAATAATAATAATAATAATAATAATAATAATAATAATAATAATGTTACAGTGATGTCGTCTACAGAGTTAGAATATATTATACCTACCTATACTATAGCGTATACAAATAATGATATTATAATATAATAGGTATACTATCTGATTCGCCACTGTTGTGTCCTTTACGATTATAAATATGTACTTAAATCGTTTTAGATGTTATTCCCGTTATTGTTTGATTGGTATCGATTTTAAAATGTTTTTCAATAGGTTAACTTTTAAGGTAACGGACGTGCAGCTCAGACGCTATACATCGTCGTGACGACGACAGAAAATCGAGAGACTCCAATGGACAATGACGGTATCGCAAAAATGAGTATCGTACACATAATATAATATAATATACTATAATATCGCATATCGTGGAGTCAATCATAGGCGCAACTAGAGGGTTTCTAGCTTGTCTGTAAGACCCACAGACTCAAAATTAATACCACAAAAAATCCAAGCCATAAATCTTAATTTTTACTTACATATTCAATAAATATTGTGTTTTCCTATTGTTCAAATTAATTTTTTTATGTTTTGAAATATTTTATTTTAGATTAGTTGTATAGAATGGTCTGATAATAATAATAATTACCATGGTTTATATTTTTAATGATATCATGTTTGTGGAATATCAATTATCATACAAAAATATGCAAGCTATAGATTTCTTAATTAATTTAATGATTTTTTATAGGAACAATTGATTGGATGGGTATAACTGTATTAGTCGGCCGATAACAATTTAGTCTAGTGGCGCCTATGGAGTCAATATTACATAATTTGTGACGTGGCCATGCAAATTGCGGAAGGGGGGGGGGGGTAAAGAAGCTCTAGTCACTGAAGTCCTCCAGGAAATTTCAGAACAATTTTTAAATGGTCTGTGTTGTGTTAACGTATTATGTAAGACGTATCTGCCTAATAATAACTATGTAGGTTGCTGCAAAATGTTGTATACCCGTGAAATCAGCATACTAATCATATCATAAAGGATCCTAAGAGCCACCCCCTCCCAAAAAAAGAAGAAAACCATGACTACGTCACTGCATATATTATGTAATATATTCGTAGATATTGTCTGGATTTATGGGTACGCGGCGATAATATCACTGAAAGTGTTAAAAAAAAAATAATAATAATTCCGTCCTAATATTATACATCATATTAATTACATAAAATATATGTCGATTTGTATTTGTTATATAATCGTATTAGAATATAATACTGATCAATTGAATAACAATATTTAATACTATTATTATAGTTAATATTTTGTAATTGTGAATAATAATTTTTTTGTTTTTGTTTTTTTTTTTTTTGTACACGCGCATTCATTAATCGAATTATATAATAATAATAATATAATATATATAGTTTATAAAAATAATTTAATAAATCAAAACCATGTTCATTTTAACAGGCGGAAAGTAAAATCGCAATAACACGAAACGATATAATAATAATAATAATGATACATTAATAATAATAATTGAATTTGATTAACTGTCAAAAGTTTTTTAAATTTTGTTCTCGATAATATTATAATCTACCATATACATACATATATTGTTTTATTGTATAGTATTATAATATTATAATCGATGCGACGCCTGCCATAAAATCGAATGAGCTATATTATATTCATCGACTTCCAAACACGTAGACCATAGTATTTTATATAATTTATGTATATTCTCATCATGTTTATATTATATAATATAATCAATTTTAAATAATATGTAATTTTATATTTACATGTTATATTGTTAAAGTGGCGTTAAATTAGTTTTGTATTATTTATTATTTTACAAGTTAATTTTGGATTTTTATATTTTCTGTTTCAAGTATAAAACACTATAAATAGTTAACTTTACAATTGTTTTAATTTCCATCATATTTAATATCAAATAATAATAATAGTTTTCGTTGTAATGTTCTACACTTTACAATAAAAATAATAAGTGACCGAAATCAAATTTTTTTTTGAAATAAGACGACTCACCTGTTTCATGTCATCTATCGATTTTTATCCATTTCCATATTGGTAAGAGGTGTACGTAATAAATAATAATAATATTACCGGCATAATGTACCTAACTAAATTATATACAGCTAGTTTCGCGGATTTAGAAACTTTTCAAATCTGTCGGTGGAGGGTATTATAAAAACATTTACCTATAATATTCAAGCTCCAATCGAAATTTTGATTATTTATAATAATATCATAATACTTTGAATGCGTGTGAACCATACATTTTAAAATAAATAAATACGAATTTATATAGTAACATACAATATTCTTACTTTCATAAATAAAAATTTTAGACATTTTTAAATATTTTTCAAATTTACACCAAGCAATGGAAGCATATAATTTTTAGGACTTTAAAATGTAAAGCAATTAGGGAAAAATCTGAGCTGGACTCGAAAACAAATTGAAATGTTGATTGTGGGATGGGGTGAGAAATTACACCTCTCTCATAATATATAATACAAGACATATCGTAAATACGTTACAGAATAAACGCCCAGGTAAACATCATGTTATAAACCAGCTATAACCGTTTTCGAGAATGGAATAGAAATATTAACAGCTATATGATAATAGTTACTGTAATCGTAAGTAAATGTGAGTGTCACAAATCGAAATCGGAAATAAAAACGACGATTGAGCACTGCAGTGTATAATTATATATATTATTAAATCACGTCTCTACGAAAATATAATATAAATATAATATAACTCCAATAGTTATATCGACATGCGAAAAACGAATGGAAAACTTTACGCGACAACCGCTATTATCTTCGAAATTCTAATTCTAATAATAATGATACTAATTTATTTACTATTTTAAATTTTAGTTAAAAGACATTTTAATTCGAGAGACTTTCTGTAGCCGCGTTCCATCATCCGAATCACAAGATAAATACCGCTTAAAAACGAAATGTCGGTTGGCCGCCGTAAAATATTGTAATATATAATGAATTATAACCATTATTATCATCACGAAAATCATGGTCAAGTTGGATCAGAATAAATTGTAATCAGTTGTAATAATAATAATAATAATAATAACGACATATTACTATATAGTCGTTCAACTATAATTTTACACTGCGATAGACGTTTTTATTTTAAAGACGGAACGCATTAGAAATACGGATTTCAAAGTATCTTTGGAGACGGTAATTTTGTTTTTAGATATTTATTTCGTTTATAGAATATTACGGAGTGGATTTCGTTAGGTTGAGTCTGTGCGTTTTGGTCGGAGCGATAAAATAGAGAGTTGATCACGCGAAAGACCCTGCAGATATAATAAAGAAGACAATTCTGTCTAGACCTATGCTTGATTTTATTATAACCAGGGAACATAATATTTGTACGCTTTAGCATCAATTTATTGGTTGGTAAAATAAAATAGCTGGGTCATAGTTTTATACCAAAATGTGTTTCCGGCTGAATGATATTGTACGTAAAATGGAATATTATATAGGATTCGTTGTGGGATTTCATCCACTTTAAATTTTGATGCATAATTTAGATATTTCTGAAATAAAGTACCTACTAAAATTTAAATATTGCAATATTTTCACATTTGAGAAAATAACAAACATAATGTTTGATTTTCAGACTCAATAAAAGTAAAACTTAAAGCTGCTTTCCAAGGAAATATTAATAATTAGTGAATTTTTTTTAACATTAGACGTTAGACATTTATTTATTATTTTAAAGATCACATTTTCATTAGTAGATATTTTAGGTATAAACCTAGGTATTCAAAAGTATAATTTAATATTAAACTTTGGTATTAAAATATCATATTACTACATTCAAATTTACTTTTTTCTTAGAGCATATTTTTGGGCATAATTTGTTAATTTTTAGGACATATCATCATAAATATTATTTAGTTGGTTTTTAGTTCATATAATTCTCTGCCCTAATAATCCCTTAATAATTATATCATAATCGTACAATTAGGTACTTTAATAATAATAATAAAATAATAATTTAATATACTCGGGATGCAGTATTTTTCGTAGTTGAGCTCTTATACTAAACCTAGATAAAAATGTTATATTTTATTGTAGTATATTATAACATTATAATATATTATCGTGGCTTCCTCGTCGTCTTTGCGGCGCAAAGTCTGCGAATAAGTCTACTTGTCCGCCTGGAGCAGCACTAGGTCATCGGCCACCACGTCGCTGATGTGCAAGTAGATGATCCAGTACATGAGGTTGAAGCAAACGAAGCACACCGGGAACACTATCCTCGAGTACTTGTCGATGTCACTGGGCGTTATGCCGTACAGCTTGTTTATGTCCTTGTTCGGGTGCATGACGTGCTGCGGCGGTAACGGGGTGACGTTGCAATCGTCGTCCCCACGGCCGTTGATGGTGTTCTCCAAAGATCCGCCTTTGAGGTAGTTCTTTGGATCGTGGGCCTTGAATCGCACCTCCTGGAACAAACGGGAATCACTTACAAGGGGCACTGCAACTTATGTTTTAATTGGAGACCCATCTATTCCAATGTAGAATTGAGTTCAATAACATAGTGATTTTTCATTCATATTATAATAAATCCCATTGAAAAAGTAAAAAAAAATTGGTAAATTAAATTTAAAAAAAATGTTTACCATAATTCTAATTATTATGACGTGTTTCCTCTACTTTTAATCGTACACTTAAAATCAATTGCGAGAGAGTTCATTCATTTTAGCAAGACTTATTGTTCGATTTTATTACGTTTACGGATCTAAAATCCAAATACATAAATGACTTTGATGAGCCTATGATTAAAAATCTCAAAATAAATACTTCACTTTATGTTTTTTGGTGTTTTTTTTTTGCAAAAGTGTAAGTAGATACCTAATAAGTGCATAATCTGTGTTCATTTTTCAGTATATGGACTAAATGCATCATTAATTGTTTATATAAATTACCTTATTCGAAAAAAGAAATATGACAACTGAAATAATAGTACAATGCTAAGTGTCTAAGCATTAACTATAAAACACTTTCTTAACTTTCTATTTTAGAGCAGTTAGTGATCCCTGACCTGAGCGTATTAATCTAAAAACAGGACATTTGTTTAATCAACATAATATAATCTTATTGAACACAAGCATACATAACACACAAGCATACAGGTATTTTTGACTCTGACACATATTATGACAAGTTTAGCAGAACTTATATTTTTTTCTGATAAAAAAATCACTTGTTACAACGACACTCACCGTTTGTCTGTGCGCGTGGTCCATGTCTCCAGAAAGGATTTGGCTCGGCAAGGTGCCGCCGTGACCACCGTGGCCACTGTGACTGTGCCGGTGGCTATCGTATCCACCGTGGCCGGCCATTGTCCCGTGGGATGGTGGCAAACCGTGGCCCGACAAGCCGTGAGACAGCGTATTGTGGCCGGAAAGGGTATTGTGGCCGGAAAGCGTATTGTGACCGGAAAGAGTATTGTGACCGGACAGGGTATTGTGGCCGGACATGTTTCCGTGACCGGAGCGCTGCTGTTGATGCGAGTGCCCGTGACCGAGTGTGTCGTGGCCGCCCTTCTTCTGTTCGGCGATCTTCTGAATGGCCAGGAAACGATTTTTCCTCATCTGTATCCTCTTTGCCATGTACCCGACGGTGGCGTACTCTGTTCGAAACGTATACAATTTCCCGGCATTAGGAGGTATAAGGTATAATGTAATGTGGGATTTCATAATATAGTAGTAAATATTATACAATTTACGGTATATATAATATATGTATATAGCCTGGAAGCCTAGAATAGAATAGGCGTCGATAGAACTGCATAGGAATCAAATCGTAATTGTTTGTCCCTTTCCCCTATCCTGAGCACACTATAGAGAACTGATGGATCCAAAATTAGGTTATTTTAGCACTAATTGTTTTCACAATGATGTCAAGTATTATAAATTATAATGCTTATAAACTATAAAGTGTAATAAGTCATAAACAATAATCGGGATAAATCAATATTTTATGTAATATGTTATAATATAGGTACATCACTTATATCTCATTTTTGGAGGAAAATGACAATGGTGAAGTAAAAGTTATATCTCCAACGTATGACAAAGTAATAACAATAACGGTCGTTTTGCACACTTACCCAATAGTGAGGCGAACACCATGACGAAACACGTGCCCAGGTACACGTCGATGGATTTCACGTATGATATCTTCGGCAGCGCTGCGTTGGTGGACGACATGAGCGTGGTCATGGTCAGCACGGTGGTGACACCCAACGCCACTCTGGCCGGCGTGGCATTCCGGTTCAGCCAAAAGCTCACCCAGGATATGATGACGATCAGTCCACTGGGTATGTAGATTTGGATTAGATAGTAGCCCATGGACCGCACGAATTGGATCTCGCAAGCCAGTCTCGAATAGTTACCTGTACAGCGTATAATCCATAATATAATAGGTACGTTACACGTACGAATCGCACTCGGATGTAATGTATAATGGTACTACGACCAGGGGGCTCGAAACAGTTTCAAAATTTAATTGGTTTGGGTTTTGGTTCTGATAACGGCGGGGGCTTAATTTTCTGGTTTTGTTATCGGTTTCAAGTACGGTTTTGGTTATGGGTGTTAAGATTGTATTTTGATATTTTTCTTGGGTTTTTAAAATCTTATCCTTGGTTACTAGTAATAAATATAGACCAGATATTTGTATCACCAATTAATGGATTTATTGACTTAAACTTTGTAATATTATATTATATTATATTTCAGTAAAATATAACCTAACCTAATTATGCAAATGTTTATGAAAAAAGTGTATTTTATATTTTTGTATTGGTCTGAATTATATTATATTTCTTTTAATATAAATATAAGTAATTTATTTTAATTATCTAATTACCATTAAGTAGCATATTAAAGTTATAGATTTAACTTGTGCATAAATGTAATTATTTTATAATGTCACTTATATTAATTTATCTTTTCGTAATTATTATTTTATTCTGCCTACTATATAAATCTATTAAATTTTAAACTAACTTATTATTTTTTAATACTATACTTTAAAATGGAATAATTTCTTACTTTTTAAACTTTTTTTTAACCGGTTTCGAGCCCTAACTACGACTATTTTCTGCGGCTATATAACTATTTAACTATTATAATATAATAATATGACGACAATGTAACGTACACACTACTAAGTCTATAGGATATATAAACTGACTACTGCCCTCCTATATGTATAGAGTGAAAATCATCTCTAAAAATCAACGCTGTCGGGAAAACTAGTTTTTTGATTTCTACATTTTCCACCTTGAAATCATTGATCCTTTCTGTTTTTTTTGCACATAATAATGGTATTTTCAGTAATAAGCGTTATAGATATTTTTTGTGATTCATATTTGCAATCATTTTTACTTTTAAATACTCTATTGTACTATATTAACCCTAAATAATATCTCTTTGCAGTGTTAAGGATTCATTTTCAGGGGTAGCGCCACTGTCTCCGTAAAAGAAAAAAATGTAATTTACCATTCACCGATATACTGAAAAGTGATAAGTAAGTAATTGTACCTAATACCTAATCTGATCTCCAAGTTAATGTTTCGGTTCATTAGTTTGTACGAATACTGCAAAACCGTTTAATTGCAAAAATAATCACTGTAGGTGAACACTCAGTACCGAATTAGAAAATTGGTTTGAAAAAAAAGTTTATTTTACAAAAATACTGTTTATTCTTAAGGATGTCATGGTACATAAACTGCGTTTTATCATGGTAGGTAGTTTAATTACGTTGGAAATAATTATTGGCTATTTAGTCAGAATAATACGAAATGTCTTCATTTTTTTCTCCAAATTTTGCTTAACTGCGTTTTCTTTAGGAGGGCAGAATGTTTAGTTACTACTGTTATTGTTGACATAATTATATGAGGCAGTTCCACTTCCGGAAAAGTAGTTAAAAAAAATTATAGCTTTCTGTATTATTGTATTATTTAATATACGTTGACGTCAAAAACACCAAAAACAATACTATTACCTATGTTATTATACAATTTTATATTAAAATATTATTATTATACTTGCGTTGGAGATATTTTTTCGTCCGAAACATTACCTGTTGTCAGGCTAATTTCCATAGCTCTCTGCCGATGTCCCAGCACTTTAAACTGAGGCAGGGACACTTCGTTGGACACGCCCACCGAGTTTGGCCCCTCATTCCACTTATACCGGATGTCTCTCATCGTATAACCAACTGGGGAAATCACAAATGCACACCTCTAACGTTTAGACCTGTCCTCGGAGCCCGAGACCCACCCATCACGTGTCGGGCACGCGCTCGACAGAATATCGAATGAGGTAGGTATAATATATTATAATATTATTTCGTACATCATATTATTACTATGATATTAAGCGTACCATAAATTAATAAAATATACAACGCAAGTACGTGTGTTGATTACACATCGTAAATCGTACATCCGACGTACCGTAAAAATCTATACAATATTGTATACGTCATTATTTATCGTTTTAATTATTATGCGTGATCACGCGATTATACAAGTCGCGCGTGCGTGATGGTTAGGTCGCGTGTCAATAATCTACCTGTAGATAGGTTAATTTCGGTGGCCCTCTGCCTGTGCCCGAGAATTCGGAACTGCGGCAACTGCACCTCGTTGCTAATCCCGACCGATTTAAAACCACTTTTCCACTTGTACCGGATATCACGCATTGTGTAACCGACTGCGAATAAACGTGACAAAAAATGAAAAACAAACACCATCAGAACGCGTAGAACGCCGCGCGTCACTCTCACCGAAATCCATCGCAATACGAATGACGACAGTGTGACGCGCGCGAAACTTTAAGATAATAAGTCTATACATAATATAATATTATTATTATTATTGCTATTATTATATAATATAAAAATGTATGCGTAAGCTTCGTCTCGTGTGTGTGTGTGTGTGTGTGTGTGTGTGTGTGTGTGTGTGTGTGTGTGTGACGTGTGACGTGTGTAGTGTATTTTTTTAGGTGTGCAGATTTTAATAAAAGTTGTCATAATATGTAATATATACCGGGTGATCGGTTGACGTACAACACTCGTTAATAAAAAAAACTATTAATGTACCTTGAAAATATTATTTTTTTCACTTAATTCTCGGTCGTTAAAAACAACATTGTTCTAAAAATTTATATTTTCATGTTTTATCATTACCATTATTTTATACTGTTTATTTTGTGTAAAGACGACATGCATTTTTAATTCATTATTTCAGAGCAGAATATTTTATGGAGAACTTGGATGTATTTAAATCGAGTTTTAGACGAGTAGCTTAAGGGTTCTAAATACCTATAATAAACTTACTATACTCGTCTGAAATTTATATAGATCGAAATACTCCAAATAATATTCTACTTTGAATTAATATTAAATTAAAAGTGTATGTTGTCATTCATCAAAAAATGATTAAGATAAAAAATAGTTTAAAATATTAATTTTTAATTTTTATCCAAATATGTTGTTTTGTAACGACTAAAAGTTATTTAAGTAAAAGAAATATTTTCAAAAACTTTAGTCTTTTCTTAAATATCGAGTTCCATAAGTCAAATGAACCACTCGGTATTGATTATTGAGTAATAAAAGAGAACAAAACATAATATTATGTGGTGCGTGCGCGATGTATATTATAAAATGTCGGAGAAAAATATATAATAAAATCATATTCGCGTGATGGTTGCCTGCAAAAAATTTTTGATAACATATAGTTATTATATAGCGTAATTTTCATTTTTTTGTATAATTTATTTTAGGTAGTTATATATAGGTGCAATGTGCCTGGTCCTTCTCTCCTCGGGCACGTGGCTCAGTGCTGTCTGCGGGGTAGAAGGACACCGAAATCAACGAGCAAAAAATATACAGATAGATTTTTTTCACCGTCGTTATCGTACGATAACTATCGATCAATCAATATTGTATAAAATAATAAAATATGCATCGCTTAAATTTGATACTCATTGACACTTACAGCTCTCGATTTCGATGTGACACAGCTGTCGGTCCATCGGGAAGTACTGCAGGTTCATGGGACACGACGCGGTGATCGTCAAGCTGTACACAACACGGAAACGTCATACATAGACATTATTAAAATCATTATAATATTAAACAGGTATTATACACACGCGCGTTGCGACAATTATTATAATATTATATTAAATGGGAATATACCGGGGATGGTAATGTCACAGTTTTTACCATTTAATTTTTTTTTTAATACAGTTTTTCAAGTTCTGTTTGTTAAGTTATTGAAATTACCGTCTTGAGAACATACTAAAAAAAAAAAAATAAATAAATATGTGACAACCACCCCATTTTTACATCATCATGTGGGGCTAGTTGTCGCTGCCACTTACAAATTAAACTTCTAGTTTTAAATGTAAAATTGTGTCAAATTTAGAATTATTCTAGGTATGCAAATAAATTAAATCTAAAATAGTAAACATATCAAGTTAATAAAATGTAACAAATTTAAACATATTTAGTTTGAACCTTTTAATAAACCCAGCTGTGACCAAGCCCTTTGTAATTTGTAACAACAAACCCTAATCTACGATTTCATAACAAATTAACTTTATGAGTTACCGCTGGGGCTGAGACCTTCTAGTTTTTTCATATTTGTCTCGAAATGTTGCAGAACAATGTGAGTGATGATGAATACGTTTCATATCACAAGGAGGCTTATCATTTTATTTTGTATATTTTTGCATATTTGAGCTGGTAGGTATATTAGATAAATTAAGAGCATTATTATAGATACTCATTTGGAAAGTTTTGATGTTAGATAATATAATTATATAATATATTAGTAACAATCTGTATAAAAATATTATTTTCCAAATGTGTATTTATATATTATTTATTATAGGATACTTTGGTAGTTAACTATTTACCAAGTCAGCCCGAGTTACCACTTATCAATACAGACGACAATTAAACAACAAAATATACGTTAACACACTAGGTAATTATTTGTAATTTGTCGAGTTAACAATTAAGTCATTAGGTACCTATAGTAGCTACTGCTGTATAAATGGCAAATATTACATGCATTTACGGAAAAAAATTACTCATAGACTTAAAGTTCACTCTTTTCGTCTTTAAATTCGTCATATGACTACAACTAACCCGTAGTCGAGATAAATATGATTATTTTCATTGTGATAAGGTATAGAGTAGGTACATAATTTTATTACAACGGACATAAATACCCTCTAGTTTCAGAGTTATCAACATTGTGACAACCAACCCGTCGGACGACTAGACCCGGTCTCCCTATATCTATCCGTGACATATCGTGTTTTCGCGGTCATCTGGGACCAAATATCGTATTGGAATATATATTATACATGTACAAGTGTACACAACGCCATCACAGCTATCAGGTAGGTGGCTATAATATAATATATTATTATACATGCTCGGTCCGTGTGTATTATAATTCGATCATCGTAGTCCTGCCGATGCGCCTGTAACCGTTTCGTGTAATATGTATATAATAGTATAATATTATATTCGTACGCCTTGGACTTGTACGTAGCTGCAGGCGATATACGACGACAACGACGGTTATTCGACGAGCGGTGGGTACAAATAATTCGATACAAATTATTATTGATATTATCAAATCGTTTTACTACCGAAATGTTATATGCAAAGGCTATAGACATATAACATTCCTATACACCTGCGTAGTTGCACAGAAGTGTATTTACGGTGGAGGGTGGCATGTGCGATTGACCTCCTTTACAACCTCCCCAACAGAATTAATGTTAAACCTTATTGTTATAGCGATAAACGTTTACATTTTACGTATATGTATACACAGATCAAAGATACGTCTTTGGAAAATTATTAATTATAACCACTGTAACAAGACGTTATTTTTTCAGTTTTATAAAAAAAATATTCCCCGATTAAAGATTACATTTAAGTTTTGTTGTTTGTATTTTATTTTTTGTACAATGTTTTATGATCAGATGATTTTATATTGCAGAGTAAATCTTCCATCCCCATGGGTTTTCTATTGAACAAATATCACATATTATTTACATCTCAATGATTCTCATTAAATATTCATAAAAATACACCTCCGATACTATTATACACGGAAACGAATATTCACAGTACTGCCAAATAAATCTTCATTTTGGATATTATATTAATATTGAAAACACATATTATATTGGAACTATCACATACTTAAAATCTATAAACTTAATACTTTTAATTAAACATATTTTTTAGTTAGCTATAGTTGTTTTGGGCTAGTTTAACTATGTAATAGAATATTCGAATCACAATAGTATATATCCTATAAAAAATTCTAAGTATGTTACAAAATAGTTCGAATATATTAATATTAGTTTTATAATAATTATACATTTAAGGGGATTGGAAGCAGTGTATTTATTTCACGTTTTAGACTTAAAAGCCTGACAAGATTACACATACTTAAAATAATCAGATTTCAATCCTGAAAAAAGATTTGATTTTATCGACCTTTTCTCTATTTTATTGTGGAAATCGATTTTTACGCTCTGGGTTTCGGATTATATTATGATATTCATTAAACGTTTATTCGAGAATAGGTAGGAAATAATAATGATTCTATAATGTCAAAATGAACCCATGTAATGAACGTTATGCGATAAAAACTAATTCTAAATTTCTAATTAACAATAAATTAGCCATAATATAATATATTAAAATAAATAATTTATCTTCATGGTTCATTCGTTCCCTTAATTAAATTATACATTTATATTTTGTTACTTGTAATTTATAGGTACCATAACGAATAACGAGGGACAAATATTCCTGTGTCTTGATACAATTCCTATCATTTATTATCTATAATAAATGTATAATACGTTTATATCAGCTACAATGTTATAATTAAATTGACTAAAAAAAAAAAATCAATATTTCACAATTTCACCGGAAAACGAAATATTATGTCAGACTTCTTCCGCAGCGCTGTACATACCGTATACCACGTCATGCTATAAAATCATCGTAGATATATTATAATATTGTTATCTTTCCAAACATTAACGAAAACATGATAACGAAATAACATAAACAAAAAAGTTACCTACATAGAATGTTGAACATCCCGATAAATATAAGTACCTACCTACTACCTATATATATTGGTAGGTATTGAAAATTGCAATACATATCAATAATTTGATATGGATAATAACTTTCAAAACACCAGCGACTAAATAGTATAATATTATTTATGACGGTGTGAAACTCATAATTTATGCAACTTTGTATAGAATAATACGCGCCGTTATTGGAATTTGGAAATCGGAAATCACAATTTTATGATGTAAGTATAAGTATTTATCATAATAAGAGTTAAAAGGCGATTCCTAAGTGTGGTTTCGTCTATAGTCTGGATATCCTTTGTCCTACCACCCACAAACAATAATAATACCCCTGCACAATATTTCCGAAGTTTCTCAGATCTCGCTAATCACAGAAAGGTGAAAAATCTTGGATTTTTGTCCAACCTCTTAACTGTTAAAATCGAATTCCTTCTAGCCTTCATATAACTTTCTATGGATGTTTTCAGTTTTCGCTTTATCCGGCCATATCATGATCCGTTCTATACCCCAATTTCTCTAGCAAACTATAGGTATAACATATAGAACATGTTCAGTTGGGTGAGAACAAAAAAAAAAAAAAGTAAAAATCTTGATATACAATTTTAAAACCAGGATTAATCAGTGTTAAATGCTTTAATCCCTAAAATCCTTTTGAAAATTGAACAGGTGACCTTAAAATTTAAATTGTCAACAAAATGAAAAAAAGAAAATGACTTCCTATTCTGATTCAAAAGTACAGGAAACGATTATCGGAATGCGTTAAAACGAGCATCTCGTAGATAGTTCGGAAAAACTATACGCATTTTCATAAAATCTCAGCCCTACTTATATCTAATAAACTACCTGACCTAAATTTAATTTGTATAGAAAAATATACGCCGTAATTAAAATGGGTATGTTGTGATTCAAAAGAGTGAAAAACTTAAAAAATTATAACAATAAAAATAGTGGAGACAGAATTTTTTCGTTGAAATACTGTTTCGCAACTCCTTAAAATTACGTAAAATAAATATTTTCAAAAACGTTAGTGGTTTCTGAAATAGTGAATATCCTAAATTTAATGAATCACCCCTAAATTTTAACTTCGTTGTTTTTTTTTTTGGACTTTTTCCGTAAGTTCCTATATGTATCAATAAAATAAAAATATAACAATAATATTATGTAAACAGTCGTAACATTTACCGAATGCTCCGCGTTATGCTCCCCGAATGGTGTATCCGGATGAACTCGTTGCTGGTGGTTGCTATGTGGAAGTACGACTGTTTCTCATTGACGAAGAACGTGTCGGGTACCCAGATGTTCTTGATGAACTCCGATCCCACGGACAGCGTCTCGACGCCCGGCCGCTTGGTGAACGCCAGTCGGGGATCGGTCCAGAACTGTCTGAAGTAGAAATCTAACGTGAAGTCCTACATATGCGACGTGGGGAAAAAAAACAACAAAAACGATTAATTTCTCGAGCTGATCCACCGAATACAATAATAAGTCGAGTATTTCAAACCTTTTGCGGAACTTTTTACACAGGGATGGATTTAGGGGAGGGCCCCAGTTTTGTAATAATTAACAGTAAGCACAGAAAAATGTATTTAATATATTATTAAGTATTTACACGTATAAAAAAATATGTATAATTTGAAACTTCATTTTTCAACTTGAAATTTAATTTTTATCAATAAAATAATGGGTATTTTTTGTAATTTATACATTATACTGTATGGTTTTTTAAGAATACCTGATTTTCAAAATTCAATTGATGGTTTTGTGGAAATAAACCAAGGCAATTTTCAGGCATTCAATTTTAATCATTACTTAACATCATTATTTTCATTATTACCTAATATAAGTCACACTGACTCTGTGTGCTAATATAAATTACCCGATTTGATTGATTTTTTTGTTTATTGTTGGGCAAAATAATTAAATAAGTAGTAATAGTTGAAAATACTTATTAAATGTTTTTTTGTAATCAAAAAATGTATTGTTATGTTTATTTGCGTCACCAGTCACCACACACCTAAATCCACCCCTGGTTTTTCATGTAAATAGTTTATACGTTAATAATAAGTTTATGACATTGTTGACAAATCAAACTGGTTTATTGTAATAATTGTAACAATTACATATTTACATGAGTGATTAGACCGTTCTTGAAATATTATTAAAAAAACAGATAGGTAGTATGGTTTTAGATGGTTTCAAATACTCGACGTATTAATGTTAGTATTACTATTAACTATATAAGTTGTTGGTATTGCATTTTGATGATGAAAATGAAATTTAAAAAATAATGAAAATAGTTTTAATTTTATAATGAAATTATAATAATTTACACGTAGAGGTAGTAAATATTATGAATTTTAACGTAGACTAGGTTTTTATTATCATTGTAATAATTATTGCTCGTAAGCATATAAAATGAAAATATGTATATGCATGCAGCTAGCAAGCCTAAATCCAAAATCGCACGCCAAGGACTTGCGTAAGTGCGTTCGGTAAAATACCCGCTTTTTCTCTCATAAAGTACAGTGATATTCAAACGTTGCGTGTCGTGCAATCTATCTAACATGCGTTGAACATGCAATTTTAATTGACCGTGCACCATTTGTCGGCTAGCACGGAACATCCATAGTACAATAATATATTAGAATGAAAGCTAAATGGTGTGAAAACGTTTATTAAAATAATAATTTATGTATACGGAGGGAAACATATTAAGTATTCCACCGTTGATTATTATAACTATAATTATCTAAATATTTTCACCAGTCTAATATTCTAATATTCACATTTACGTAGCCAGGTGGGATGGCAAGGTGGGAGTTATCGCAGGAAGGGTTCGTGGGCGTTGAAAACTGTACGGCCTCAGTATTAACTCTAACGACGTTTTCGTTTTACTTATTCGGCTTGTGTCTAAATGATGTTATCATCGTGTTATATATTTACAGGGATATATTGGTTTACAAGGAAATTAACCTCACTATGATAATATGGTTTTTTTTAATCTCTACAGTTCAGTCCAGACAGTGCAGTGATCGAACTGATTCCTAAGTAATAACGGCTACCGTTGCTGTACGCATTCGTAAATATTTTGATTAAGCTCTTAATAAATTCATAAATACAATATTGTTTGTGATTTAATCGTTGTTTTTCTTCGACATCATTTTTTATTAATTTCAAATGTTTTTTTTACGTTTATAGATTTATATTCAAATTTAATGTTATAAAACAAGAAAAAATAGAAAATTTCAAATTATCAAATGATCAAATTGATATGAACAATTCATAAAAAAATTAAGTCCCTAAAATCAATTTTCAAAAATTAAAATAACTAAAATATATTTTACTACAAGACATTAATGTAAATTCCATAAATGTTGCTGTTTCTGTATTTTACATTGTGTTTTCAGCAACCGAATAAATTACGTCATCAAAATAAACACAATATTTTATGATCTGTGACTTATTTTACCATTAGCATAAAAATAACTATACCGAAATTTGCACTATTTTTTCACTTTGATTAATAAAATAATACATTATTAAATTGAACCCACATAGAAGTTGATATTTTGTTGATGGTCATCTGTTATAATATTATACTCGTGTAATATATTAACATATATAATAGTAAAGAAAATTACATAAAACAAACTCTCACACACGAATCCTGGCTACGCACCTGCTTCTAATGTAATATTATATTAATATATCTTTTAATGGTAGAGCGAAATATTTTTGAATTTTTTCAACGAGATAAAAAGCACTATATTCACTATATATTCTATAAGCAAGTTATTCGATAATAACGATGCAAGTACGATACTATATAAAAAATCGTATTCTCGTCTTTACCCGCAAAACATGACAATGTCATATTGTTCAAATGTTCAATACTTAGTTTCTATCCACAGCTATGTAGACCTCGATGGACTGTTTTATCGTACGTAATAGACAATAATATTTTCATAATTATTTGTATTGATATTTAATAGTACCTACATATTTTTTTTATTATTACTATTATTATAAGATGGATGAATAAAATATATTATACATGACGTAATTCAGCCAAATATGTCGTGTGTTGCAGTAGGCGGGATCTGTAACCGTTGCGCAAGCCGAATGAACTCATTGAAATTCAAACGCTGAAACGGACGTGACCTTTGCCGAAAAAAGGAAACGGTTTTTGGACGGTTTTCCGAAAAAAAAAACATTTGCCCTTTTCTCCACCTCTCTTTACATTTTGCGGTATACTTTATTGGCCCGCTCCCGCGGTGTTAACGCAATGCGGCGGACGACAATATAATAAAGGTCGTTGCACGTAAACTTTGTTTAAAATAATATAACAATATTATGTACGTTCAAGTATAATAATTATTATACAGCTCAGCGTGGTGTACATCATAATAAATTATACACTGTTATTTCCGGAGAATGACCAATTATTATTATATTATGCGCCTGGGTAGAGCCGTGCTGCAGAGACTTATCTGAGGCGCTCGGAAACGATGGTAGGAGGGGGAGAGAAAATAAATTACCAAAAAAAATGACGATAAATAAATAAAAATATGAATCGGTTTCGTTTACAGGTCAACCCTTCCGATGTCATCCGCGTCTAGCCGAACAAAACATGCAAAACACTATCTCCACCGCTGTATATTATACGTATTCAAACTTAATCGGCCGTATAGTATTGTTCCACAGCCTTTGCGCACATCTAATCAAAATTATACACCACACATACTCCCTCTCTCTCTCACACACACACACACACACACACACACACACAAACGACGGTTATATAATACACTGCTTTGTGATCTATTTAACCGGTTGCACTAAATTTCCAAGTCCACAATTTGTATTTTTGAAGAAAACATTTTTTACGTAAAGTGAACACTATGGTTTATAGTAGGGTGACAAAATACTGGACATACTTTAAACTTTAAAAAAACCTCCGACAGTTGTGTAGTGATTTTGATAATTTTAAAATCGTTACACAAAAACTGTTCAACTCGAACAGAAGAGTACAAAATAGATTGTTTAGTTATTTTTTTAGTGTAGGTATAGGGTTTTTATTTACGCATATACCTACCTATAATTATAATAATTTGCAGATAACGGAATATTCAAAACCAATTCAGTGAATGGCTAAGTAAATATAGGTGGAAAGAGAATTATCCAATTTTAGATTATCGATATCCATAAACGTATTTTGGTCTATAAATAATATAATCGGTAAATTTTATTTCTAATGCCGAATGTCAGGGACGCTTTTTCTGTATGGTTTACTTTCAACTTTGATTTTACAGGACTTGTTGTGACTATCGAACTTAAGTGACTCTCATAAGTAGCCAATAGTGGATGTGGGGCTTACGGCTTATTTTAAACTTTCGTTTTCTTTTCTAGGACTCTAGATTCAGTATCTATTAAATTCTAGTTACACCCATGAGTGGATCAGAGGGTAATTATGCTAAATAAACTATCTGGAACAATCACGAAAAACTGTATTTTTAATTTAATTCGAACTCCAGATACTAATAATTAATAAAGAAAAACGGAGTCCAATATTCGATGTTTATACATTTTACATTTTACTTTTTTAGAAAAGCATTGCATTTCAGTTTTTATTAGACTAGGGCAATTTTTCACTGCTTTTCCGACTCAACATTTATTTCACTCATATTCTCATAGCATAGTGCCATAGAGGTAAACGGGGGGGGGGGGAGACCCATTGCGCTCCTGGCTATGAACTTAGAACACATAATATAACATATACATAAGTAATGGGTTGTTTTTAAAAACAATTTATCGTATTTTTTTGTAATTATATTATAATGATATACAAAGTGTTATAAAATATTGTTCATGCTAAATAAAAAAAAAAACACCACAAAACATAAAACTTGGGAAATCAGTGTAGCCAGTTAAGTAGATCACTCTGCACATGTGTGTATATAATATATGTATATATTATGTAATATGTATATTGTATATGTTGATTTATAATCCTATTCATTAATTATGCATTCGGACTTTTTGTTTTGTGCCACTTTATTTATGTGCGTTGCCATTTTGTAACGTCGTGTATATTATATATACATATATACACGCATTTTACTGCTGACGGACATTCAATTTTGAATAACAAGTATTGTACCATGTATATATATATAAAATATAATAAGGATATAGGGGGGCGGAAAAATACCAAATCAAATTACAAAAAAAAAACCATATAATGTAAGTATATAATTTAATAAAACCAACATCGAAACACCAAAAACAATAATATCGAAATATTATGTATATGTATATATAGATTCACTACTTCACAAATGTTTAGTAATATTGCACACATTTTACTCCTTTAAAAGGTCTGTTACTGTTAAACAGTTACCGTTCGTTT